CCTTCCTGTACGGTTATGTATATCATTATGTTATAAATTTGATGGGACTTGAACACAATGCCTCGTAACCTAGGTGCCTCAGCTTAGACAATTAACATCAGCCAGCTCTAAATACTTTATCCGGATAAAACTGGAAAATGTTGAAGGCCTGCTTATTAGTGTGTTGTATAAATAACATTCTTAGATTCTCATATCCCATTTCCTGTACAAATGATTTTAAGCTCTCTCTTCCTTGGCCATGCTTGCTAAATGTGTCTCACGAACCTTCTTTTCCATGATGAAGGTGATTTTGCAATTAGCAGAATCGGGATCATTTTTCGTCCAGGTTGATCTGTTTAAAGTACGTGGAAAGTTTGCCTTAACAGATGCCTATGAGGACCATTTTGCACTTCCCAAGGGCAGAATCATTCTGGTTACTCATCGAAGAGTTATGTTGTTGCAAGTGAGTTAACTAAAATTTGAACCAACAAATCAATCATCCTGTCAACTATATACTGTAATTCAACTCTTCTTGTACATTTTTTATTTCAGCAACCATCCAACCTCATTGCACAGAAAAAATTCAACCCTGCAAGAGATCCATGTTCAGTGCTCTGGGATGTGGTGTGGGATGACTTAGTCACAATGGAACTGGTTCACGGAAAGAAAGATCATCCGAGTGCTCCAACTTCACGCGTTCTTCTATATTTACACAATAAAAATGGAGATGCAAAGGACCAATATCGCATTATAAAGTGTAGCCGTGATTCTAATCAAGCATTTGAGGTTTATTCGTCAATCGAACAAGCAAGGTCTACTTACGGTCCAACACATACAATGGTATGATTTTGTCCGATTGTTTCTGTTTCCACTTGGATTTTGTAGACTTGAGAAAAAAAGGTTTGATACAATTTGTTGGTTCTTGGTGTGTGCAGGGGTTGCTTAAGAGGAAAGTGAGGAAGCCATATTCTCCTACGGTAGATGCTGTAATTCCTAAAGGAGCATACATATTGTCACCCCAACAAATGCCTTCATCGGTATCCCTAAATTCAACTCTTGGAGCAGTGAACAATGATTGATATGGAAAATGTAGCTTTTGCTAGTAACAGCAAAAGGCATAAACGATGATCGTTTTATCTTTTTACCGTCTAAAGTGTGAAGAAAGATTGAAAAATGAGAGACATCAAGAATGCTGGCAAGAGCTTTACAGGAAAAGGCTGTTTCCTGAAGTTGAATTGCAACTTGTGCTGCAGCGATTTTGTTTATACGCCATCTGGAGTTGTAATTGTATTCTCGCACTGTAATATGTGCTTCATCATAAGAGGATACTAGAATATATATATATATATATATATATATATATATATATATATATATATATATATATATATATATATATATAGAGAGAGAGAGAGAGAGAGAGAGAGAGAGAGAGAGAGAGAGACGCACATTACATACACATCACTGTATATATTCAAGTGAGTGTATGAAGAGCCTCTACGAAGTGGTCGGCTGAGGTAATAATGTACTTGGTGCTCTTTTATTGTACATACTACATAATTAATTTTTGTATATACTCTTTTCAATCAAAACATGGTTCGGTTTGGTTGGTCCATCCAAAGAGACTTGATAAATATATTATTTTGATTTTAGTATTATCATGGGAGAGATCTTTGAGAAGAATTTGAATTTAAATTTAAAATAAAGCGTTTGTTTGCTTGTATTTTAGAGAAAATATTTGTTAGTATAACATTGGGGTTAGAACTTTGCTATTTGCAGTTAATATCGCAAAAACATTTCTCTCACTATATACTCTCTCGCACCCACTCCCCACCCAAACACCAAAACATTTAAAAAAAAAATTAAAAAAAATCGAATTGATGCAAAAATAAGTCAAATTTATCGAAATTTTTGAAGTATTTTCAACT